GGGGGAGCTTCTGATCAGCAACGCACTTTAACTGCTAGAGCTTCATCTAGTTCGGATGCTACTGAATCAGATAATCGAGCATATTCTGGTGATGAAGATAATGATGATGATGATGATGATGAAGCAAATGTTCAAAAATATTCCTGTTGGAACGTTTGTGGATGATCTTGCTACGATCTTTCCTGAATATTCAGCTCAGCAACCTTGTCCGAGTCTACGTTCTTTATCATTTAATGTTGATGAATGCGATGATTATGATCGCATTCTTCAAGATTTATCAAATGAAGGAGAAGATGAGGGAGTTGAAGTTGAAAATGAAGAGAGTTTGAGAGAACAGGAAGAAAAAGAAAATGGAGAGGGTGTGAGTGGAGCTGAAAAAGAAGATCAAGCTCCTTCCCAAACCGAAACACTTAGCCGGGCAACCACATCTACTACTGACATTCATGTGTTGAATGTTAGTATTGAAACAGACATAGCTAGCCCARCTATGCATYTGCACACMMCTCCTATCCACTCAATTGGTTCTCAACAACCAATTGTTTCAATTTCACATGGGAATTTAGCTCATACGCTAATTACTTCTCAATCGGAGAATGTAGTTATTGAAACTAGTAGGTCGCTACCCCAACCTACGACTTCGAAGCTGTGCACCACGAGTCTAGAGCCGATACACTTAGGTACACATGAGTCAGGAGCATCTGTTGCTCCAAGTGTAGTTCTTGGTGAACTAGCTGGAATGACCGGAGTGATGTCATTTGACATTTCACGAGGACAGGTCGGAAGTCCTACCAATGCTAACATTATGCCAACATTGAACGTAGGCACAGCAGTTTACTCAACTGTTGTTTCAACTGGTATTCTACATGAACCAGGTGTGAGCTTACCTGACTTTGTGTCAAGGGAATATTTGGATGGCGCCCTAAAGGCTGTTCAAGAAAACTTTGACGCTCAAATCGCTAGTTTGAAGAGATTGTTGAAGGGTAAAGAAGTTGTTGTAGAAGAGCCACCATCTGCGCCATCACCACCACCTGTACCTGAACCGTCAGTACCAGATCAATCGATGAACGAGCTGAAATCTCTTCTATATGCTAAGTTGATGGCTTCTCAAAGTGAAGACGCTGAATATGCAGATTTGGTTGGTCTCTTACGCCAACAAATTGATACTAACCCTGTAATTAGARCCTCAGAGTTCTTGACTTTTCAGGATGTGATTAAAGTTAGTTTTTCTAAAGTCAGCAACTTAATCACATCTCATTCCCAAGATCTGAAACGTTTAATGGATGCTCTTGTTGAAAGGGTATCTATACTTGAAGAAACTTGCAAGTCTCAAGCCACATCTCTTAAACGAAGACATGATGATCAGGATGATCCTGATAGTCATGAGGGGGAGATGAAAAGACAGAGATTGGCTGAGACATCTCAACTAGGTGCAAGGATGGGTGAAGAGTCATTAGCTCAGGACRTAACTGCTGAAGGTTCTGCCCCGGAAACAGTTCAGGAAAGAATAATTGAGGCTGTTGTTATTGAAGAAGAAGATGTGGAGACAAGTCCAAGGATCGAGCCAATGGTTGAAAAGCCGGYRGACTCCACAGTAGAAACAAGGTTGTTAATGGACTTGTCTGCCAATGTAGGATTCAACAGTGTTTTCTCTACTACTCTGGGTGGRGAGCAGGATTTTGGTGAAGATTTTGATAATATTGACGAATCAACTGGAATTTATTTTGATTTTGAAGCTGACTTAGATGAAGAAGATCCAGTTTTTCCCGTTCAAGCTGATAGTCAGACTATTCCAGAATCGTCTACTGCTGCTTTACCTGATGTGCCTGAAGCAAGTGCTCAAAGAGAAACTGTTGATCATACCGAGATTTTCTCAAAGAATTACATTCCTTTTCACATCAGAGAAAATTTTTTTGGTTATGATCGTGAAAGAATCCGAGAGCCATACTTGGAAGATATCTACTTTGGGATTTTCATTCGTCACAGAAAATTGCTTAGTGCTGACAGAGTTCTTGGAATTCACAAGAAGCCAAAAGATTACCGAATTGAATATCGTCACCTTTTGAAAGCCAAGTGTCAGCCTATCAGTCAAGTTCGTACAAAGCATAGAATCGTCACGATCAAACAAATTGATGCTCAGAAACTGTTAAGAATTTGGTATCCTATGTTTACAGTTACAAGGAAGGATGGCCAGATCTGGAGATTCAGCGAAGCTGATTTCTCGAACTTATATTTGGATGACCTCGAATACATGTACTTCGAACTCAAGAACATGACGATTAGAAAGGAAGGAGAACTGGTAGCTCTAGATGCAATTAAGAGATTCATTCGAAATCATGTAAAGCTGTCAATGGTCATTGATATTCAAATRGGTCTTGAAGACAGTCAACGAATCATCAACCTCAAAAGACCTAATCAAGATTTAGAAGACATTGAAGGCTATCCAGTTTACATGGTGCTTGAAAGTCCAGAATTTGGGGTTATCTACTTTGCTCAACTTCAAGTCAAAAAGTTCATGAGATTTAGTGAGTTGAACAAGTATTCTGACGGTACGATCAAGCTTGTAAGAAGGGCACTTGACTTGAAAAGGGTGATGGATGATAAGGCTGTGGAATCTGAACGGATGAATGCCAAAGAAAGATACTTGCTTGTCAACGCCATAAATTTGCTCGAGGAGAAAATTCAGTACAGGAATGCTTTGAGAAGGTTAGAGAAAATACTTGGACTACGCAAAACAAAATTCACAAGGGTCCAAACTTGAATCCAAAGGGGGAGAATGTTGGGTTCAAGTTAGTGCTTTAATGTTGTACTCAAGTTTCTCCTTAGTATAGTTGTTTTGTAATAGTTTAGCCTGTACAATTTCCTAGTATAAATAGTGATTTCCTTGTAATTGTAATTAACAATCGTCATTAGTAGATTGATCAAGATTAGTGCTGTAATATTCTCTTTCTATCAATCTAATAATCCTTTATTCATATTCTTTCCATCTTTGATGCTCATCATGATTCTTGAAGATTGCTTAATGTTTGTATGATTTCTGGGACTATCACAAAGAGATGTGGAAACCCTCCATGAATATTGGGAGAGGTTCAAACATCTCTATGTTAGTTGCCCGCAACACGGAATTTCCGAGCAACTTCTGTTGTAGTATTTTTATGAGGGCCTTCTTCCTATGGAAAGGAAGATGATGATGCCGCTAGTGGAGGGGAAATTTTTAATAAAACTCCAACTCAAGTGAGGGCTCTGATCACCATTATGGCTGGGAACTCTCAGCATTTTAGTATGCAAGGTGATTTAAGGAGAGGGCCCCAAAAGATTAACGATGTTAATACTGGTACCATTGAGAGTATGTTATTTGATTTGACTAACCTCGTTAAACAATTAGTTGTGGGTAAAAAGCAGGTTAAGGCATGCGGTATATGGAATGGGACGAACCATCCAACGGATGCGTGTCCGCAACTCCAAGAGGATGTTTTGGTTGCACCCGAAGATGTCAACGCCATCGGTGGCTTTCCAAGCCAACAACCACAAAAAAGGTTTTATAACCAGAGCTTTGGTGCCCAAAGACCTCTGCAACAATTCCAGCAAAGGCCATTCCAACAGAGAACCCCGTTTCAGCCAAACAACCAAGCCTCAAGCAATGCAGGTATGCCTTTAGAAGATATTGTTAAATCTCTTGCTACTAACACTCAACAATTTCAGCAAGAGACGAGGACGAATATCCAAAATTTGGTAACCCAGAATCAAAGTTTAGCGGCCCAACAGAAGAATTTGGAAGCTCAAAATGGGGCAAATGGCGATTTTGCTTAATCGCATTGAGAGCCAAGGTAAGTTACCGTCCCAAACTGAGACTAACCCGAAAGCTAATGTTAGTGCCATTACTTTGAGAAACAGGACGGTTCCGGATCCTGAAGCCAAAGCAAGAAGGAGCGAGAGAAAAGAAAAGAAAGAGGCCGAGATTACAGGCGACAAGTCAAATGAAAATAAGGTTGAAGGTAAAAACATAGAGGACAAAGAAAAGAAGCCCGAATTGGTCATCCGACCACCATTCCCAAATAGATTCGAGCAAACGAAGAAGGAGCAAGAAGACAAGGAGATTATGGAGACTTTTTGCCGAGTTGAGGTAAACATTCCACTCTTAGATGCTATTAAAAGAGTACCTTGACATGCTAATTTTTTGAAGGAGTTGTGTACGAACAAGAAGAAGTTGACCATGAACGAGAAGGTTAGCATGGGCGAGAATGTATCCGCCATGCTTCAAGGAGAGAAGATGCCACCTAAGTGCAAGGACCCAGGTATGTTTACTATTCCTTGTAAGTTAGGTAATGTTTCAATAGACAAAGTCATGTTAGACTTAGGCACATCTATAAATGTCATGCCTTACTCGATTTATTCATCACTGAATGTGGGACCTCTTAAGAGGACGGAAGTTGTTATACAACTCGTCCATAGGTCCATTGTGTATCCCAATGGAATCCTTGAGGATGTGTTGGTTCAAATTAACGAGTTGGTCTTCACGACTGATTTCTATGTCATAGATATGGAGAAGCATCATACCTCCAAATCACCTTTGATATTGTTGGGAAGACCATTTCTTAAAACATCAAAAACAAAAATTGATGTTCATGATGGTACATTAACCATGGAATTTGATGGTGAGGTCATTACATTTAATATCTATGATGCCATTAGATATCCCAGTGATGTGTCTTATGTCAGTTTTGTTGATGTTTTGGATCTTATCACTCATGATTTGTATGACTTGACTAACCGAGATTTGTTGGAGGTTGCGATTACAAGGCACCTAGATGCAAGGACAGTTAATTTGTTGATGAAGGAGTATGATTTAGGGCCCGAGCTTAAAGAGATGATCTTAGCCATGGAATATAACTGACACAGGAAGTTTCAGGTATCAAATGTTAATTTACCTTCTTCTTACACTAAGTTATTTCCTTCTATTTTGCAGGCCCCGATACTTGACTTGAAGGAGTTACCGGACCACCTCAAGTATGCTTACCTAGGCAAGGACAATACTCTATCGGTGATCATCTCTACTGAGCTGTCAAGCGAAGAATAAAAACGGTTGGTGAATGTGCTTGAAGAACACAAGGAGGCGATCGGTTGGACTATAGCTGATATCAAGGGTTTGAGGCCCTCAGTTTGTATGCATAAGATTCTACTCGAGGATGACTACAAGCCTTTTTATGAAACTCAACAACGCCTCAACCCCCCTATGATTGAGGTAATGAAAAATGAGATCCTCAAACTCCTTGACGCAGGTATTATTTATTCAATTTCAGATATCAAATGGGTAAGCCCTATTCAGGTAGTACCCAAAAAGACGGGTTTGACGGTAGTTAGGAACACCGAAGGTGAGTCGGTGCCTACTCGATTCCAAAATGGATGGCAAGTATGCATCGACTATAGGAGGTTGAACTCATCCACTAGAAAGGATCACTTTCCACTTCCCCTTATCGACCAAATGTTGGAACGATTAGCAGGAAAGTCTCACTACTGTTGTCTAGATGGATACTCCGGGTTCCATCAAATCCCGGTAGCGCCGGAGGACCAAGAAAAGACTACTTTTACATGCCCGTTCGGTACGTTTACCTATAGGTGTATGCCTTTTGGCCTTTGTAACGCACCAACTACTTTTCAATGTTGCATGGTACGTATCTTTTCCGAGTACGTAGGGAGTATCATTGAGGTGTTTATGGATGATTTTACCGTTTATGGTAACTCATTTGTGGACTGTTTAAACAATTTGACCAAGATTTTAAAAAGATGCATAGAGACTAACCTTGTTTTGAATTATGAAAAATGTCACTTTATGGTTAGTCATGGTCTTATCTTGGGTCATATTGTTTCAAAGAAGGGTATAGAGGTAGACAAGTCCAAAATAGATGTCATTAAAACTCTACCTTACCCCACTTGTGTTAGGGAAGTCCGTTCTTTCCTTGGTCATGCAGGGTTTTATAGGAGATTCATTAAGGATTTTTCGAAGATAACCMRACCACTTTGTTGTCTCTTACAAAAGGATGTGRACTTCCACTTCGATGGTGAATGCAAGAAGGCATTCAATGAATTAAAAGATAAGTTAACTTCTGCACCCATAATTCAGCCCCCAAATTGGGATCTCCCTTTTGAGATCATGTGTGACGCGAGTAATTACGCGGTCGGGGTTGTTTTGGGACAGAAGTTTGGTAAGGACTCACATGTGAAATACTATGCTTCTCGGACGTTGAATAGTGCCCAAAGCAACTATTCAACGACAGAGAAGGAGCTTTTGGCCATAGTATTTGCTTTAGAGAAGTTTCGTCAGTATTTACTTGGTACTAAAGTGATACTTTTTTCTGATCATGCAGCTCTTAAAGATTTAATGAAGAAGAAGGACGCCAAACCTCGCCTTATCCGTTGGATGTTGCTTCTACAAGAGTTCAATCTAGAGATTCGGGATAAGAGCGGATCGGAGAACTTGGTGGCCGATCATTTGAGCCGTTTGCTAAATGGTGAGGATCCTTCTACCTTGAAGGATGAATTTCCGGACGAGCATCTTCAGACCGTTCAAGAGACGACACCCTGGTACGCCGACTTAGTGAACTATCTAGTTACCAACACTTTTCCAGGTACGTTGACTAGAACTGAAAAGGATAAGATTAAGAGTCAAGCGAAGTATTATGTTTGGGATGACCCCTACCTCTGGAAGCATTGCTCTGATTAGATTATCAGGCGAAGTGTCCCCCAACACGAAGTACAAAGTGTACTTCGAGAATATGCTTGTGGGGGACATTTTGGTCCAAAGTGTACGGCACACAAAGTGCTTCATTGTGGCTTGTTTTGGCCATCCATTTTTAAAGACGCTTATATGTTTTGCAAAAGTTGTAATAGGTGCCAAAAGACGGGGAATATTGGACCAAGAAATCAAATGCCCCAAAACCCGATTTTCGTTTCTGAAATCTTTGATGTATTTGGCATTGGTTTCATGGGACCCTTTCCTGCCTCTTCTGGATTTACCTATATTTTATTGTGTGTTGATTATTTCTCGAATAGGCGGAAGCTAAAGCCACCAGAACTGACGATGCTCGTACTATTTCAGTTTTCCTTAGATATAACATCTTTGCCAGGTTCGGCACACCAAGGGCCGTTATAAGCGATCGAGGGACGCACTTTTGCAATAAAGTGATTGAGGCGGTGTTTAAGAAGTACCATGTCACTCACCGGATTTCAACCGCATACCATCCTCAATCCAACGGGCAAGCCGAAGTCTCTAACAGGGAGATCAAATCTATTCTAGAAAAGACCGTAAATCATAATCGCAAGGATTGGACCGAGCGTTTGGATGATGCTTTGTGGGCCTACCGTACGGCCTACAAAACACCTATAGGTATGTCCCCTTTTCGATTAGTTTATGGTAAACCATGTCATCTACCTGTTGAACTAGAGCACAGGGTCTTTTGGGCTATCAAGAAGTGTAGCATACGAATGGATGACGCGAGAGTTCTAAGGAAGCTACAACTTCAAGAGTTAGAGGAAATCAGAAACGACGCATACGAGAGCTCCAAGATCTACAATGAGCGGACCAAGGATTTCCACGACAAGATCATCTCCTGGAAAGAGTTTGTGGTCGGACAAGAGGTTTTACTCTTTCATTCACGCCTAAAGTTGTTTCCCGATAAGCTTAGATCACGGTGGGTTGGTCCTTTCATAGTTGTTAAGGTTTATGCTCATGGAGCAGTCGATATTGAAAGCCCGAAAACGGGTAAGTCGTTTAAGGTGAACGGGCATAGACTAAAACCTTTTTATGAAGGTTTTCAGTCTACGGACATTGATGTTATGGCTTTTGAGCCACCGTCTGTTGTTAGTTAGTTTAGGTAGTGTCTAGCCAAAGACGTTAAAGAAAGGCGCTGATTGGGAGGTGATAAGTATAAATTTATTTGATACTTTTACACTTTTTCTTCACTTTATTTACACATTTTATTTTCCCAAAATTCCATAAATTGAGTCTTTTTGTTTTGTTTTTCTATCTTTTTATATTGGAGCTAAATTGATGTGATAAACATGTTTACTTCTTGGATATGTGCTGATTTTTGGAAAAATAGCCATATTGTTAGGTATTTGGCTGAAGCATGCTACAACATGTGCTGGAGGACGATCCAGGGGCACTTTTGAGAATAGTACGAGAATCTTTTGAGGTCAAATCCCCCCTTTTTGGCAACCCATCTCTTGAAAATTTTAAGATCTCATAGTACAAATCTAAGATCTGTTTTTTGGTATTATCTAGGTGGTTTGGCTTTGCCCATTGGTTTGTGTAAAAAGTTGGGTAAAGCTTTTACCCATTAGTTTTTACCCTCCCTTCCTCCACTATATAAAGGGGGAGGTTTGGCTTTGTTGGTAAGCAATTTGGTATGAAAACAATCTAGTGAAACACTTGGAGTAGTTTCAAGTATTGAAGGTCCTTTTAATATAAAGTTGTAGTTGCAAGTATTTTATTTTCTTTTATAATTCCTTTTTACGTTTATTTATCTTATCATCTTTTCTTCTCTTAAGTTCTCTTTATTATGCTTTATAATTTATGCAATCAATAGTATTAGTTAAAATATTTTGTCTCTTTTACAAATCCCTCTTTACATTTATTTCTTTTACTTGTTCACAACAGTAGTGTTTAATCAACTCACCACAAATATTTTCTCGAATTCACCATCTGAAATTATATCTTTATTTATACTATTAAAACGAACTTTTATTCCTTTTTCTCCATGGACGATATTCGGTATTTTTACCACTTTATTACTTGTAAAAGACGATAGTGGATTGATGAGTGTATACTTGCACTAGTCTCCATTTGTTAGCGGTCTGAGAGATTTATTTTATATAATTCTCGTACCAAGTTTTTGGCGTCGCTGCCGGGGAAATAGGCAAAAGTTTTTTTAGTAAATCTAAAGATTTGATTTTTCTACCATCTTGTAACTTGACTTTGGGTGTGGTGTATGCCAAGGCTACCGCACGGGGAAATTTTTGAATTGGATCTGGATATTGAGCGAACTTTCAGACAAAGACGAAGAGTACCAAGAGCATTATTATCTACTCTAACCTCTTCCAATATGGCTGAAAATCCACTTCCACCAACTCCCCCACCACTGAATGACGCTGAAAAAATAATCAAACTAGCAAACTCAAAAGACGGAGGAATTATGGACTATGCCATTCCTGTTTTTGATCAGTTAAATTCAGAAATAATTAGACAAGAAATGGAAGCCCTCCATTTTGAGTTAAAACCAGTGATGTTTAATATGTTGCAAACCAACGGTCAGTTCAGTGGTTTGCCGTCTGAAGATCCACACTCACACTTAAAATCATTCATGGAAATAAAGCACTTTCCTTATCCCAAGAGTATCTAATGATGCTCTGAGACTTACATTCTTTCCTTTTTCCGTAAGGGATAGGGCAAAGTCTTGGTTCAATTCCTTGCAACCAAGATCTGTGGATTCTTGGAATAGCATGGCAGAAAAGTTTAAAAAAAATATTTTCCTCCCACTCGGAATGCTAAGTCCAGAAACGAAATTTGTCTTTTTAGACAAATGGACGATGAGGCAGTTCCCGATGCGTGGGAAAGGTACAAGGAGCTATTATGAAAATGCCCTCACCATGGCATTCCATATTGTATACAGCTCGAGACATTTTACAATGGGTTAAATCTCACTGCAAAACAAATGCTCGATGCTACATCAAGAGGAGCTTTCACAGCTAGTACCTATAATGATGGATATGATATCCTTGAAAAGATTTCTAATAATAATGGACATTGGGCCGACCCACGTGCACTAGTACCACGCAAAACAGCGGGAGTTCATGACATAGATGCTTTTACAGCATTGACGGCTCAGATGACTGCAATGACTAACTTGATTAAAAATTTAACAAATGGTCAAGCAGCACAATCCATAGCCAGTGCGCATGCTCCAACTGTTGAGTCGGTACAATGTGTGTATTGTGGTGGAGGACATCCCTTTGAACATTGTCCATCCAACTCCGAATCAGTCAATAATGTTGGGAATCAAAACAGATCAGGACCGTTTTCTCAAACATACAATCCTGGGTGGAGACAACACCCAAATTTATCATGGCACAGTCCTGCTCTAAACCCACCAATGAACAAACCCCAAGGGACTTCACACTTTCAACCACATCAGTCTCAACAACATCATCAGGGTCAAGCTCCACACCATCACCAAAATACTTTTCATCAACAAGCGAATCATTCATCTTTCCAAAACAAGTCTAACCAACAAGCCGAATCTTCTACTTCTTTGGAAGCAACTATGAAAGGATTCATAAACCAAACCAACACAGCCATGAACCATCAGAACACTGCCATAAGATCTCTAGAAACACAGATTAGTCAACTTGCACTTGAGGTAAGAAATAGACCTCCAAGTACTCTTCCTAGTGATACTGAGATTCCAAAGCCAATGATGAGAGAGCATGTAAAGGTAGTGAATTTAAAGAGTGGAAAGAACCTCATAGAGAGTGAACCTATAAAAAATTTTGTTGAACCCAAGGACTCAATTAAGAGGGATGTCACAACATCTAGTTCAGATATTGTCACAACCACTTTGAAAGATAAGGGAAAATCAATAGAAATAGGACCACTTCTTAAGAAAGCAGACCTCCCCTTGTTATTCCAAATGAAGGCAAAAAGAAGGTATCATTTCATAATTATATTGGAACAACTTCTTTTGAAAGTAACAAGAATGTTGAGTCACCTGTCCCTCATGAAGAACCTATCATCATCCAGGAACCTCCTAGTCAGTCCTCTAAAAAACCAGTCATAGCCCCTATTCCTCCTTATATACCTTTTCCACAAAGGTTGAGGAATCAGAAAGAGGAGTTGCAATTCAAAAAGTTCCTTGACGTGTTCAAACAGCTACATATCAACATCCCGTTGGTTGAAGCTCTTGAAAAAAATGCCAAGTTATGCAAAGTTCCTCAAGGACATTTTGAGCAAGAAGAAAACACTGAACGAATTTGAGACTGTGGCCCTAACACAAGGTTGTAGCGCCCTCCTTTCAAATAAAATTCCCCCTAAACTCAAAGATCCCAAGAGTTTAACAATTCCTTGTTCAATAGGTGGGAAGGAAATTGGATAGGCTTTATGTGATTTAAGTGCCAATATTAACCTCATGCCCTTGTTAGTATTCAATACCTTAGGCATATGTGAGGCTAGACTAACCACAGTTACCCTTCAGTTAGCAGACAAATTCATAGCTCACCCAAAAGGAAAAATTGAGGATGTATTAGTCCAAGTGGATAAATTCATTTTTCCTACTGACTTCATCATTCTTGATTTTGAGGCTGATAAAGAGATTTCAATCATCTGAGGAAGACCATTCTTAGCAACCGGTAAGACTTTGATTGATGTTCAGAAAGGAGAGTTGACTATGAGAGTGAATGATCAGGATGTCACTTTTAATGTTTTCAAATCCAATAAAATACCCTGATGTAAAAGATGAGTGTTCTAACTTGAGTGTCATTGAGTCCTTGTGCCACAAAGAAGGAGTTAAATCTATGTTAGACTTAAGCAAGACTGAAGTTGTTGAGGAGATAAAATATGGAGAGGAAAGTGAGATCACCCTATTGCAAGACACCTTTGCTTTTGAGCTATTGGGAAGTGAGAGTGGAAAAACCCATGCCACATCTATTGAGTCACCACCAAGGTTCTTACACCCTTCCTAATCATCCACCCCTCCCATTTCACAAACCACCATACCCATCCCAACCAACTTAGCTAACCTACCACCATGGTTGCTAAGATCAATCCTCCCATGTCCCACCCCCCTTAGAACCATTCCATTTTCCCAAACAGCCCATCTACCTATTGTATCATCCCAACCAACCATCCCACCTACCATTCCCTTAGCCCAAACAGTCCCTTTAGCCACTCCCACTTCCCAAACAGCCCCTGTATCTGCTGTCATAACCCAAACTGCCCCTAAACCCACTGTTTCAACACCACCATCCCCTACATTGTAACACCCCCAATCCATACATTGCATATAATACATAAATTATACATAGAATACATGTCTTCTCCCACATAGGTTCATAATACAAAAGTCTTTAATGTGAATTACACCACTCAAAAATTTTAAAAGTACATGCTTCTTTTATTCAAGCATTTATGCTTCCAAAACAGCTAAGCACATAGGGAAGTAATTCACATAATGCTCTTTCCCTTATTATCTTTACCTGCACACATATTTTTGAAAACACGAAATGAGGGTTAGACATGAATGTCTAGTGAGGTTCCCTTTTATGTAATGCAGGGTGAAGGTCACCAAAACATTTATTTCAAATAATTCATCTTATGTAGCAAAACTAAAAATCATACTGTTTTGGTCCATCGAGCCTCTGGTTCCAAACCACACTTGGAATATATTTCAATAACCGGGACCAGAGCCCCTCTGGTCTCTCTTCCAGAGCTTTTGGTTCCTCGACCAGAGCCTCTGGTTGTACTAACTAGAGCTTCTGGTTCAAAAGACATGATCAACCAGAGCGTTCTGGTTCAACGTGTAAGCCAACCAGAGCCTCACTGTCTGTTTTTCATAAAAAGATTCTAAGTATAAAATCCTTTTCTTAAAAACTTCTAAAAATATGATTTTGACATAGAAGCTCTTATCAATAGATACAGAGCCTCTGGTCCAATTAGTACATTTAGTAAAAACTTGCTCATTCTCCAAATCAATAACCAGAATCATCTGGTCCAATAATGAGGAACAACCAGAGCCCCTCTGGTTCCTTATAAGGAACAACCAAAGCCCCTCTGATTCCTCATAAAATGACCATTCTGTTCCAAAACACTTTTAACCAATATCCATGGTCATAGGCCAATTTTTCTCCTTCTCAATAACATCAATACAATTATTTCTAATAAGAACAATATCTTTGAGTTCTCAAATCACAAAGAAGTAAGGACTCAAATCTATTGTAGTCTTAAAAGACATAATAGTAAGAGCTATAATATTCACACACAAATACCACCCTTATATCCAAAGGTACCTCTCTCCTTGATATGCCACCTTTATATCCAAAGGTACCTCTCCCCTTGATATGCCACCCTTATTCCAAAAGACACCTCTTCTTAATATGCCACCCTTATTTCTTCTTCAAAATCTATGAACTAGTTCGGATGAAGGACCGCAGTCACAACCATCTTATCGAATCCTCATTCATAGTTTTATCCATAGCATCTATAGATTAATTCCAAATAAAGACACATCAAAATCACAATCGTTTCAAAAGAATATTCTCTATAGTTTTCAACCAACAATTTTATCATTAAAACCTTTCAAACTCAAGAACAATCTATTCTTTCAATGATTTCCAAAAACATCATATCCTTTTTAAATCCTCAAAGCAGGATATCATTTCCAAAACTGTTTTAAAGAAGCAATCCCTTCTTTATCTTTCCGAAAACAGTTTTTAATACTCAAATATACAACAATAACACCTTTAAATTATCAAAATAGTTTTACCATATTTTCTTCAAAACCAACATAAAAACCCAACAGTTTATATAACAATATATATAAAGGTTTTAGTCATCAAAAACTCACCTTAATAATCACAGGTTCTGCAGATTATAAACACACAGTAGATCTTTAATTAGCACAGAATCTTCGAATCACTTTTGTGTATTAATCTTTCTCAAGAATTCTTTCACTGCCACATACTTTCTTTTTCTCAAAAAGGTTCCTTTCTCCAAAAATCAAGATAAGGTATGATCTTATCTTTTTCCTTCTTTATATATTTTTCTAACAAAGGTGGTGATGGTTTTATTAAAATTAAACTCTTTGGCGGTGAAAGCTTTAACTAATAAAGGTAATTTAGGCGGTGGGTTTTTCATTATAAAATTCATGATTTCTTAACCATGAAGGTATAAGTTTTTAAATATTATAATAATGTTTCCACCAGAATATCTTATCACAAATATGCACTACCTCATGTATGCTTCACACCACATGCATATATGTATAAATTACATACATATCATGCCATCTTTTCACATATATGCATGCACAATATCATGTTCACATTTCACATATATAGTTCATGCATTTCTACTTAGACATGCATATTTCACGTCATCCACATAATAAACATGTATAAATTACCTCAACCCAGGTTGTCTAAAACCTGATTATAACACACATCTACTATTTTTCAAACCCAAACAGCCCCACCCCCTTCTCCTCCACCTAAACCTAAACCCAAAGCTCGTCGGCTAGCCACTAGATCAACTTAAAGACATGTCACCAAGCCCATGACCAAAGAGGAGGGAGATGCAATAAATATGGATACATATGTTCCAAAGGGTTTGCCTAAACCCAAACAAAGGAAGCCAAGAGCCAGAAGGATAAAGATCAAGGATGAAGTCCAAGATGATGTACAACACTCTGGAGTACCACCTACATTGGAGCCACTCTCCCAAGGTATTGGTAAGATAGAAAGCACAGAATTTGATACATGCCACCAAAATCCCATTGTAAGTCTTTCTAACACTCCTTTGCCTAAGCACACACACACCTTTGGTGCTCAAAGTGATCACACCATCAAAAGTGATCCTGTTGAGCATCATGAGAGTCAAGAAATGCTTGGTGAGGACTCTCTATTTGACATTGATCTCAATGCCTTTTTCATGGAAGAGGAGGGCCCAACTCACTCACTTGAGTGGCCAAATTCCACCTCTTCTTCAGATGTTATCACTCTTATGGACACACATACATCACATTACCAGTTCAATGATTCCCCCATGGTTGATTTGGGGATGGTTGACTTGACTTCACAGCACTACACTCCTCCACCCATCTCCATTGCATTTGATAGGTTTAACAACCCATTTTATGCACTACCCCCTTTCCCTATCTACATCCCTACTTCTCACAAGAACTTTGATGCATATGATGCCCTTATGCCCATACCACCCATCACTAGCACCTACACTGCATCACTTGTGAGCACTACCTATGATGCCATTCCAGACTTCCAGCCCATTTCCATCCTTTCTCCTGCAATGTCTGAACAAAAGTCCAATGAGGATAGCAACCGTACCTCTAGTGACTCTAACTTAGTCCCTATTGAGAGGTTCTCCAAAAGGAGACGGGCTGAGTTTGAAGACTCTGAGTGGACTCCTGATGAGGACATCCCAGTGTCCCAACTAAGGAGATCCAAACGACATCAGGTAGCACCAAACCCACCCAAAAAGAGAGCCCGCACTAGACTAGTGGACAGCCACAGTAAGAGCAGCCGTAGGCCTAGAAATGTTCAAAAAATCAAGAATTTTTTGGGTTTAGGAGAGAGAGGGTTTGATAGGAGTTGTCTTGAGACCTATTCCTTTATCTATGACATTGTTATCTAAAAGGAATGGGAGACTTTCACTGCTGTAAGAGAGCCCTATTTTCTCACATGGGTTCAAGAGTTTTATGCCTCAGTTCCTACACACACACTACCTCAGTTCATGTTCGGGGTAAAAAGATCTCTTATTCTCCACATGCCATAAATATTTTCTATGATTTGATTGCACCTCCATTTTGTGAGTACTGCAGGTTATTACATGATCATACTGACGAGAAGATGGTACTAAGTGTTGTAGCCAAAGAGGGAGCCACTTGGAAGTCTCCACAGAAGCGCAGTCCGCTTAAATTCCAAACCAACCTCTTGAAGAAGAATGCCGCCGTTTGGAATCATTTTCTGAGATACTCATTTCACCCCACCACACACGACACGAGCACATCATTGGACCGCATGCTTTTACTTTATTGTATTCTTGTAGGTAAGGCGGTTGATGTTAGGGCAGTTATCTCAGATACCATTCAAGGATGTACAAGGAAACCCATCGGCCGACTCTACATCTCGGCATTGATACATGGATTAATGAAGAAGGTGAAAGTACCAGTACCACCTCGCGAGGCCCTTACCACCAATGCACTACCCATCGACTGCAAGATAGTTGATCGCATCCGCAAGACCCCG